TGTTAAACCGGATTGACAGATCCTGGATTCTCTCGCAGCAAAATCATTGTGAAGAGCTTCTTCAAACTATCTCGCTAAGTTTCTTGTTTTGGGAAGAGATGACCTAGGACTTAGAAGATGATAGACAGTTGGGAAAATTGTGACTAGATTATAATTTGATTACAAAATGCGTGCTATATAGGGTCACAGCGATACGGCTAAGGGATGCCAAGTATACCAAACTGCAATAAGTCCAATTGTAGACTATCTAAAATGTGACGATTCTGACGCTAAAAATCAAATCCATCTAAGTGCGTGGGTGATGACACAAAAAAGATAACCGTAGTCTCGTCTTGCTGCTGCGAAACTACATTTTGACATTTTGCTCCCCCCTCCCCCCACACACACACACACAGACACACACTACTTGTGTGGCACACACATACACATACACACACGCACGCACACAATCAAACAAACAAGCCAAAAGAAAAATAAACAGTTGAAGCTGTAAGAGGCACCCAGTCGTATTTCAGATAACATCATGAATGCTTCATAATGATCCAGCTTGGTTACCATATGAATAGAATTTTCGTCCTTAACAGCAAGACAGTAGGTTTAATAGGAACCAAACGTGGATGCAACGAGGGAGGCTGTGGAGCATGTACTGTGATGATCTCCAAGTATGACCATCAATATGAAAAGATTAAGTATCCTTAAACAGATCTGACAACAGACACTTCTCTACAACGACAGCCTCTTTATACTTTTATCCCCCTGTCTTTGAGCGGACCTTCTATCACTCTTATTTAAGCTCTCTACATGAATCCAAAAGCGCGTCCAACTTGCTTAGATATAACTTCTTGAAAACGGCCTGCTGATCGATAAGTCAAAATGGCAGCTTCTACAGTCGGAATTTCAAAGTTTTTGGAGAAAATCTTCGAAAGGTGGCGTTATCCTTTTGCAACTCAAAACTCGGTATCTGTCATGACTCCACTTATAATCTTTAATGGTAGAGACAAAAATCTATGGTCCAACATACTTCTCTTTTAATGTCCCTCTCAGCATCCCTTCCTTCACTTTGGACGTTGTCTGATTGAGGATAGGAATTACGGCATTCCATGCATAGGTGCCACCCTTAACAATGATTAGACATTTTCCCGCAAATAGTTGCTTACTGCCGTTATGTGCAATCGATGGAATGGCTGTTACTACAGTGGAAGGTATTGGTAGTATCAGGACTGGGTTGCATCCCGTACAGGTAAAAAGATTCTACCTTTTATTTGAGAAAGAAGCAGAAAGATAAACAAAAGTTGAGCTGATGTTTATATACAGACAGGCAGTCAGGCAGAGACTGACGGACAGAGAGACAGACAGACAAACAGACAGACGGACATAGAGACAGACTGACAGACAGACAGACAGACTGACTGACTGACTGACAGACAGACAGACTGACAGACAGACTGATTGACTGACAGACAGACTGACTGACTAACAGACAGACAGACAGACAGACAGACAGACTGACTGACTGACAGACATGCCCATCTTTAAAATAAAGAAGAGTGACGGTCCTATCAGCAGACAGATAGCTGCTAACACAGAAACGAAGTGAGGCATACCGGGTAGAAGAAGATGAGACTGAGCAAAAGGACTCACTGATTACAAATCCTTGGGGAGGAACGTTACCATTTGGGAACTCCCCTTAAATAGACACACACAGAGACATCTTAGAACATAGTGAAAGACAAACAGACAGATAGATAGACAGACAAACTGACTGACAGACGGTTAGATAGACAGGCAGATACATAGACAGACAGACAGACTGAAAGATGTGCTCATCTTTAAAAAGGGCAGAGTGACGAGTCTCTTAGCAGGTAGATGGTTGTTAGTAGAAAAATTAGATAGAGAAAACAAACACAGAAACGAGTGAGGCATAGAGCGTAGAAGAAGATAAGACTTAGAAGAAAGACACACTGATGACAAACGCCTGAAGAGGGACATTGTCATTTGGGAACGCCCCTTAGATAGACACACAGGGAGACATCTAATCAGGTGAAGAATTGTGCTCACGAAAAGAAAAAGATGTCTGTCAGGAGGGAATGCTCCTTTTTATCAAATAGGAAAAATATCCAATTAGATCTAATTTTTTAATTAAAAGGAGCGAATTGTGAAATCTCATGGGTCGCAGTGTGGCTTCTGCACCCCAGGAATGGTGATGTCCATGTACACCCTACTGAGGAACAACCCTGAACCAACTCATCAGGAAATGGAAAGCGCATTTGAAGGTAACAGTTGAATTGACTAACAGTGACGCCCACTAGATTTATTGACGGTATCGAAAAAATGTGATTTACGAGAATCTGTCAGTGTCTTTGCTTGCTTCACTGACCTAAGTTGACCACATCAATTGCTTCCCAATTGCAGGTAATTTATGTCGCTGTACAGGCTACAGACCAATTATAGAAGGATTTAAAACGTTCACAAAGGTAGGCGAAATATAGTAATTAGCCATTAATATTAATGCTGATGTTGACGTTCCAGTTTTTGGGCATTGGCGTGTTTTTGCTTTTATTTGAGTTTTATGTTTATGTTTATATTTATGGAACAGGGGTGCTGTGGTAATCGAGAAAATGGATGTTGCAAACAAAATCGGGAAGGAATCGGTAGACATCATACAACAGAACGAAAAGATCTACTGGTAAGTCTTGTCTTACAGCACTTTTCTTATGGTGATCCCAACTGATTTGTAATTTTTCCAAAAATAATCGAAGTAGAAAAAAATTAGAGGAGATGTGTATTAAAAATATTTCAATGAGTTTCCTTAAGAGGCTAAACGAATCGTAATCAACAGGGAGAAAACAATAAAATTAATACGAAACGGAACATATGGGGCGGTTAGAAAGTTAGAAATATTAATGAAATATTTCAAAATTGTCCATTGTTCAAAATGATATCATTTTTCACTTAATTGCTAATATTTCAACTGTGCACGCAGGTTGGCGATAAAATATTTAACTCGGAAGAGTTCACTGCATATGAACCGACACAGGATGTTATCTTCCCGCCAGAGCTGATGGTAATTATGATACTCTCATTTATTTACTTTTTCATTCATTCAGTTATTCATTTCATTCACTTTCTTCTCTCTCTGTCCATCTACATATTTATGTATCTATTAATTAATCTATTCAGCTACCCGTTTGCTGACGGTGCACACCCATTTTTAACATGTATGTAGTTAACACTGGCAAGCACTGAAAGCCAAAACGTAACACAGAAGAGGGCTCTACGCCGAAATCGCGTAGTTAGGCCAATTCACCTCTTGTTCGACTGCACTACGATGCATTTCTACTTGTGGATCGGATGTGACATTTTGCATTTTCAGGAATACACTCGCTTATCGTTTTTTAGAGTTAATTTGAGATTAATTTTTTTCGGTGTTTTCTTCAGCTCCCTGATGCCGCGAGAGCTAAACGTCTTTACATTAAGGGTGACCGCATAACTTGGATCAGGCCAACAGCGTTAGAAGAATTATTGGAGCTGATGTTGAATTATCCACAGGCTAAGCTTGTGATTGGTAATACTGAAATAGGTAAGTAAAAAATACCATTAAAACATTTCTTTTTTGGATGTATTAAAGATTTTTCAAAACATTCTTAACTGGAAGAACTTAACACAAAATGCAGGAAGTTTAAGTCTGAAAGAAAAATCTCGATAATGATTTGTTTGTAATTAATATAAATCTGGTTGAAATCCTACTTAATGATTAGTCTGTTCATTCCTTTTGTTTAAATGTTTACACGCAGGGATTGAAATGAAATTCAAGAATCAGACCTATCCAATCCTGGTTGCAGCAACTCACATCCCAGAATTGAAAGCTGTGGAACAGACAGAGAAAGGCATCAAATTTGGCGCTTCTGTGACACTTAGCACTCTTCATGATGCTTTAAAACAGGCCACAAAAACACTGCCAGGTACATCCAGGGGCTGAGAAAACATGATAGCAGTTTTTCAAGTAAAAGAGAAACGATTTATTACACACGGAATCTCAGTGCCGGCCCTTAATCTTTCATAATTTTTATTTCTTCCTTTTAGCATGAGGTCGGGCCTGGAGTTTACTTACTCATATGTGCAACTAAGAATTTATAATCTCTTGGTCCAACTACAGTATGAAAAACAGTTACTGACCCCTAGCGTTTTATTAAAATTTAGAATTCAAGACCGGATGGTTTTCAGCAATTCTTGACATCCTCAAGTGGTTTGCTTGTCCTCAAATACGAAATGTTGTGGTGAGCCGTTTTCTGTTTGCATTGTAGTGGATCAAAGAAGTGTCCCTAATGATAGCTTAATTTATCTGCAAGATATTAAGTGGAAATAGCCGGCTTATAGTTCGCAAAATTGGTGTTACATTAGCCAGCAGGATTCCTGAGTAGAAACTTTTCCACTTTCGAATCTTGATATCTCAAAATTCTTATTTTCTTGAGATCAACGATTAATAAAGTATATGTTACATTGACCCTAAGAGCAATCTATTGAATAACAAAGCAGAAAAGTTAGATTTCTCTATAGTGTTTAACAATAATGCAATAAAAAGACCATTTAAGGTTAATCCTACGCGAGTTTGATTGGCTTTGAAAAAGATAAGATCGTAAAGGAGGAGGCCCACCACGGTGCTTGTTCTTGCTGGAACCTGCAGCTCTCGCTAAGTGTGTCCATATAACAACGATTTTGCCAAACAGAAATGTGCATCTCTCTTTACCTATCTTTCCACATCTATGTTCAGTCCATAGCAGGGAATATCATGAGTGCCAATTCCACGTCAGACCTTAACACAGTGTTCATGGCCGCAAGGTGTAAACTGCTGCTTGCGTGTGCTGGAGGTACAAAGTCCAAGCTGGGCTCCTATTTTAAGGCTATTACCGAGCAAAGGGTGCTAAGCTGAACAATATCACACAATCATGTTGTTTGAGAGATCGGGGCAGCCATTTATCGTATTGATGATTCACATTGGCTCTAACCGAGGGCCCTTTTGACGGTTGACGATTAAATTTTAAGTCATTGGACGGTTGACGGTTAATTTTTTTGGAAAGTCGTTTATAAAACGAACTAAACACGTGAATTTGGCTGTAATTTTTCATAATGACGCGTTTGTAAAGAACTATTAGTTAATAACACTTTTTATTAATAACTGTCTAACGTTTTACGACACTGGAAGTGTTTCCACACCGGAAGTCAGTTCTAGAAGTTGAAGGACTTACATAAATCTATTTTTGGGATATATCAAAACTTTGTTTATAAATAAGAGAGCTTGACCCCAATTAAGGCAATCGTCTTGTTCTTAATTAAGGATATCTAAGACATTTGACGGCTAACATTGGCTTGCTCATTTGACAGTTGACGATAAAAATATTGCGTTTTTGACGGTTGACGATTGATATTTTGGCCATTTGACGGTTGACGGTTTACCCCATTGAAATCCTCCTAACCATCCTTATAACTTTTTTGCTTTTGAAAACGATATTTTTCTTTTTCTCCATTGTGTATTATCGAGCGTTTTACCGAATTAACCGTTACGGAAATATTCCACCATGCCTCCTTTGATATTTGCAAAACTTAGTGATTTCGTGTTGCCTAAATAATTATTTTTTACGCTCATACGTGATTATATCTCATGATGTAAAAATTAAAGTTGTTTGTCAGTCCTCTGTTGGCATAACACGGCAGGCTCATCTCGATTTACGTTAGTCTCGTCTTGCTGCTGTGACGAATTATCATAACTTTAAATGTGCATCTTTCTTTTTTTGCCAAAGGAAAAACTAGAGAAGTCAGTCTGGATGAGAACTTTTTCACAGGGCACAAAGCAACAATTGTCGGACAAAGTGAAGTGTTGATAAATATCCTCATTCCATTCACACAGGAAGTAAGAAAAGCTACTTCAAAGTGATCAAAATTACAATATTATTTGGATTATTTGATGTAAACTGCAGGTATATTTGATGACTTAGTGATTTATCTGTCGTCAGAGCCTCTCTCTCAGAGCCTCTCCAACGAGATCAATTCTACAAAAAGTGATCGCTGTTGTTATTTTTTCTTTAATAATCAAGATCATTTGGCTTTTTCTGTTTGGTAGCATGAATATGTTCTTGCCCTCAAACAAGGTCGTCGGCGAGAAAACGACGTTGCCATAGTGAACGCAGCAATGAGAGTGTAGTTGGAAAAACAGACAAACTCCAGTTCGTGGCATATCAGGGACTGTAGTTTTAGTTTTGGAGGCATGGCCCCTTCAACAGTTATGGCCTTGAAGACCATGACAAGTCTAAGTGGAAGGTAAGAAGTAACGCATGTGCAAAACGGTAACTTACACAGGTCAGGCTGTATTCACCTAGGGGCCTGGTACTCCTATTCAAGCTAATATAAGTGGAGTAACGGCGTAATGCGTAGGCCCACCCTGTAAGATCAACCGAACATTTTGTCAAAAAGGCCCTCGTAGATATCGACCGTTTTTTTATCTTGGAACTCCATCATCAAATCCATATTCAACTGCCATAACTTTCGTATTTTACAGGATATGGAATGAATGCGTGGTACAAGCGGCTTGTCAACTGTTAGGAGACGATCTGCCTCTTGCACCCGGGGCACCAAATGGCCAGGTGGAATACAGGAGATCACTTGCCTCGAGTTTGTTCTTCAAATTCTTCCTAAAAGTTTCTCAGCAACTCAGTAATGAAGAGGTACGCACAAATAATCCCTTCCCTCCTACGGGTGACAATAAAGGGCTTTCTGATTACGATTTATCAAAGCATTCCAAGGAAAGAGAATATACCAATGCATCTCAAATTTATTTATTGCAAGCATTTGCAGGAACGGATATTAACCATTAATTCCCCCGAAATACGGCATGTTTTAGCTTCCATACGATACCGATCCAGAAATTTATCGAACAGCAATCACATCATTTTAACTCAGTCTAAGGGAGTGCGATGGCTCTCGAAGCTTATATAAGTTTTTTATAGCATGTCTTTATACTCATTCCTGCTCCCTGAAATGCCAATTCATTAAAGCTCACCCAAAAGTATTTCATTAAAGTTGTTCTGACCGATTTGACCGTAGTTACTTGTAATTATGATAGCCTAAATAGCACCATAGTTATCAACTTTAATTAATTTGAAATTTGTCTTCTCCTACTGCGGTTAAATTACAGTCAGCTGTTGGAGATCTTGTACCTAGATCCTATCAGAGCGGAATTAAGCATTTGCAAAGGGGAACTACCCACAGCACCCAGACTTTCCAGGTAAACAAAGAATTTCCTCATGGTTTCAAGGTCTTTTAGTTATGGTTAACTGATATTCAAATAAAATTTGGCACGTTTGACTTTCCATGATAGAACGCCAGTATGTTAAGATGGCAGGTGCAGGAAGCGATAAAGTAACTCTAGTACTTCATTCTACATTTTCAAATATACACGTTCTTGATCTGGTCTTGAAAAATATATCAATAATAGTGGCGACCATTTATCGGGGTGAACACGCTTAAAGAGAAGTATGATCTTATGCCACGAAGCAGTCATTTCTAATTTGGATCGCGATGAGATTGGTTAGATACGCGCGCGTCGCCATTATGCTCAGCTGTGATTGGACGGTATTCAACAGCTGTGTCTGGCATACTTTTTGGAAATCGTGTTTCCTAGGCGGTTCATTGTCGTATGGCTCCTCCTTTATTCTTTCTTTTGATCGTCAGCATGGCAGTATCCATTCAAAACGTTGTCATTCCCATTATGAAGGACCATATCGCAAGACATAGGATTATGCTTCAGATCCTTTCTCTGAATAATCTGTTTTTTTAATCATTTGGCTTAGGAAGTTCCTGATGATCAGTCATCAGATGACGTAGTTGGAAGACCAATACCTCATCTAGCAGCTGCTAAGCAGGCCACAGGAGAGGCAATATATTGCGATGATATACCCAAGTATGCGGGTACGCTGTCATCACGACCAGACGATGGCGTTTTGCAGCTATTGATTACCATGAAAAAATGTGTTAAAAAAAAAAAATTATAAAGACGTTTGAATTGCCAAATACACGGCATCACCCTCCGGCAGTATTTGAACAGGAACAGTTTTAATTAGCAATTGCTATACCGGCTAATTTCTATGAAAATATGTCACAAAGTCAATTGAAATATGCTCTTGCAATCTTACAAAAGTGTAGTTGTGCTTTCAGGATGTGATCTTTAGACCGTGTATAATTAAAAGTGCTCACGCCTCAATGCTTCGTTCAGTTTACAGGCTCTTCTCAGATACAGACAAATCAACAAAAACATTTTTGTTTTTTTCTGAATGGTAACTATAACGAAGACAATGAATAGGATTAGTAATCAGGATTGAAGTTTAGTCTTAGTTTACATTTTAGCAAGATGAAATGGATTAAATCTTTCTTGCCTGTCTTACTGCAGAGGAGCTGTATGTGGCCCTGGTTTTCAGCCAACGTGCCCATGCCAAGATTCTGTAAGTAAAACGAATGCGTGTATTGACTGTCGACCTTACCTAAGTAGTCGAATAACCACTCAACCAGCTGAATAATTTGAAAGGGATCATTGCGCCAACTTTGCACTTGTGCAAGACCGATTAAACCGCATATCAGCTAGCCAACTGAGAGACCACCAGGCGCCCCACCATTTTTACGCACGCCCATACGTCTGACTGTCAGGTCAACTCATTATTGGTCCAGCATTAACCAATTGACTGACAAACACACCATCGACCAGCCGCCCGACTGACAAACCAAGAAACGGCCAGATATCATAGAATAATTTATCAGCATCTGTGACAGAAACCAGATTTACAATAATTTGACATGCACAGGCAATGACAAACCCAATCCCCCACGTACAAATCTCAGTTACACGGACCTGATAAACTTCGTATCTCTCAAGCTAATAATTTTGATCAAGTGCAACTTGCTTGGAAG